GAAGATAGTCTAAAGAGAGTCGCAAGTCTAAAGAGAAGATAGATGAAAGGATTGTATTTTACAGTAACAGCACGGGGAAAGAGATATGTCATCTTGTTCATTTTTGTATTTATATATCGAAACGTGTACAATCAAAGGTGGTTTTGTTTCGCTTAGGATAAGATAAATTGTATATTATATTCAATAGTCTGACATTCCTTTTTTTCTTTTTAATAATATTACAAATTTCCTCTATTAGATTATTCACACCACAAATGTGTTTTTGTCTGTTTCATTGCAGGTGAATGACTGTCTTCAGATGTCAGAAGAGAAAACAACTTCATTAACGTGTAAATTTATGTTAGTGCCAAAAACTGTAACACTGTCAGGCAGGGTAACAAGGTAAACGGTGCTTACTGTGTATTGTATTGTTAAGCTGAGATCCATTTTCAATGATTGCATGTAAGGTATTTGAATTTCAGTAACTACAGGGAAAAATAATCGAGTAACATATAGAATAAAAAACTACTGCAAAACAGTGGTCTTTGTAACACTTGTCTTGACCTGATAATCTCTTTAATACCTCTCTTCAGTACATTGTTGCTTATTGCCATGTCATATTTTGTGATTTGTAAACCTTTTAGTTCATACAGATCAGGGGTTCGAAGGGGTTGAAGGGGTTCGCAAGCTATGGTACCAGGCCTTGAGTCCCTTCAGGTCACGATAGGTAAATAGGCCCTACTTTGACCGCTTGTATGCGTGAATTTGATGCTAATTAAATCCGCATGTAAGCGGTTAATTACGAGCGAATCGGGTGCACCCCTTTTGGCGATCAAGAGCGGCTTGTATCCAAAGACTCGGGCTTTCTTGTGGAAGCCCGAGTAATAATAAGAATAAGAAGAGCAACGCCGTAAAACCTACCGGCGTCCGTCGGGTCGAAAGTTCTTATCCGCAAGCTCTGACTTTTTTTTTAAGAAAAAGGACGTCACGGGGCGGCGGTTAGAAATTTTGAAGGGCACAAGTGTTTTCGAGAATGAATGAATTAAGAAAAGCAATCAATAGGCAAATTTAAGGAATAAAAGCGATCTCCGGTTTAGCTTTTAATGTAATTGTGGGCGATTTTGTTTTGTTTTTTGTTTGTTTGTTTTTTTTTAACATGTTTGTTTTTGCTTTTTGTTTTTCATTGGTGAAGCCATAAGGCACTTCCTGTATCAAGATCTTGAAGGGGTCTTCCCTTTCGGGTCTGCGTTTCCGGGTCTTTATTTTGGAGTCCTTGTTTTCGGATCTTGAGCCAGGTCTTTGTTCTCGTGGGTCTTTGTTTTTGCTACAACCTTAACTACCGGTTGTTTGTTTGCTTGATTTAAAGGGCGCTCTTAAGCTTGTCTTACACAAGGGAAGTTTTGTTCACGATGAAATCTTCGCAAAAGACATTACCAAATTGGATCCCTTTCTGGTTAGTTGTCTAAAAGACATCCCGCGAAAGGTAGCGACTGATAAAACAACAAATTTACTTGAATCTCATCTGCAATTTCCTGGGTTGAATTTGCTCAAAGTCCTGGTCCGACCGGATACTTTTTTAACTTAACCGAAAGCTCGGTTTTGGAAAAGCTTTTGTCAGACCGTCTTACTCGACGATCCTTTATCATAAAGTCGATAGACTGTTCTCACGAAGGAGATATGATCATCCATGGCCTGAAACGAAAAATAGAAGGAAAAGGGTAGCTGGCAAAAGCCATGAAGCCATGACGGCCTAAAACACCAAGTCACAAAATCAAAGGGCTCTTGGAGTCAGCTCATTCATGTTATGGCTTAAGTCTGTATTGATTTCTTGGACTTGTTGAATAAAGGTACAGTTGAAATAATAATAATAAATAATAATGTTTATTTCTTATATTGCGCAGTCTAGCATGCGATAAAGATATGATCGAGTGCGCATTACAACACTAAAATCTTAAAGTAATAATGGCTAGTCCAGATAATGATAATAATAATAATAATTTACAATTTTCGGAAAACAATAAAAGTAAAATATGAGTTAATAAAAGAACTAATTAAAAAGATGTGTCTTTTGTAAAACTTTAAAAATGTTCAATGATTGACATTGTCTAATTTCTAGAGGGAGTCGATTCCATACTTTGGGCGCAGCATTTTCAAACGCCCTATCCCCGAGTGTCTTGAATTCTATTTACGAGACCTTTCAAGACTTATGAAATAAATTTTCTTTTATTTTTTGGCAGTTGTGTGATAAGAAAACTTGTGCATTCGTCGTGATGGGAATTATAAAAAAGGTTGTGTGGGCTGAAGGAGGGATGGGTAGAAGTCATTAGGCAGACAGTGTCCTTTTTGTTGGCGTGTGTGTGTTTATGGGGCGGAGGGTGGGCTGGGTGGGCATAACTGGCCATCAAATGTTGTTCTAGCAGCAAAATATAAGTAACTCTCATCTTTCACGATCATTTGCACTATTGTAAAATATTCCTCGCCCGTTTCTTGATATCTTTTGTTTTCATTAAGGTGGCCATTACATTAACGAAGCGGTCACAATCGTTCTTTATAGAATTTCAAGCCTTCATATAGCCTGATTTTCACATATGAATATTTGTGTAGTCACCAAACAGACGAGAGATAAAATCACCAAAGAAGTAAATTAATGGCCAGTCACGAAAGCAACGCTTCGCTTTCCCTATAAAAGTAAGACACATATGTGTGATTTGGAGAGGGAGACTACTTCCGTTCACGGTTTACAATGCAACTTCCGTCTACGGATTACAACTTCCGTCCACGGTGGACAACTTCCGTCAACATCTGCTTCACCATAATACCTTATTCGTTGCTTTCATAATGAATGAGCTAATAATGGCCATGCACTTGACTTCTGTTTTGATTAATGTGAAGCACATTTATCGAGGCTTACCGTAATTATTTTCTTTTATCCAAAAAGAGTCGTACATATCTCAAAAACACGTGATACTGATAGCATGTGTATCCTTAACCCAAATAAGTCATCGCAGCTCGACATTAAATTGTGATTTCTCCCACACATTTCAACCGAGGCCATTGAAACTGCTATTGACGCTAAGGCTCTTTCTGTGCTATATCAATTGAACTGGGTCCCAAGAGCCATATGTCCGAGACAAAAATGCGGGATTTAATTTATTTGGCACTGGCGTGAATTTTAAGGAATCGGGCCTTGACACTATGTTTCTTGACGTCATGGTATAGACAAACTTCTATGGCCAAGACTGATTGATTGCTCTTCTTTCTTTACTCGCGTTAAACCTGTTATACATAAAAACATAAAAAAAAAACAAAAAACAAAAAACATTTAATTTTTCTGTTGGTACATGATTTCTGTACCTGAATTACAGCCAAATAATAGTAACTAATGTTCACGAAGTTAGAGTGCTGTTCAGAAGGACTAGGTCGAATGTATAAAATCGCGGCTGACGGATAATGAATTCAACCATGTTAATGTCCTAAACGCCTATGATCTAGCGCTAAAATTGGCTATAATTATCTATTGCAAAAATGATTTAGTCCATAGATTTGCGTATTACAACAATTGTGCACATTTAAAAAAATCAATAGTTATGCATGCGTAAACGTCTGTTCAGCGTTTATAATAATACGGCCAATTTGTAAAACTGTAACATACAGGTCAGTTGAAAATCTGTTTTCCCGTGGCTGCTGATTTAACAACCCCGTCATCTTCGATACAAAGAATGATGTTAAGCGAATAGTTTTACGCTTACCTTTTAGGACTAACACTCCCTGTAGTATATTTAACAATGCAGCTTTGATTATCGTTTTGCCAATATTTGCAACATACATGAATTTGACAAGCATAATTTGTCCCTCACAATCACTTGGCAAATTCGAAAAAAGCAACGCACCAACAACACAAAATATGATATGGCGGGCAATTGGTAATACTTATGTAAAACACCAAAATGTTCTTTGTCTCGCTTGGTCCAACACTCTTCCAACTTCTTAAGAGATAATCCTACTCAACGAATGGCTTGGTCAATCGAACTGCACCCCTGAAAATTAGATATGTGTCCGGTATGAAGACGACATGGGCTAGCAATCCCTTAGGTAATGTGCCACGAATACTAGCCATTTGCTGGAATATTGTTTTCGTTTGATACCTACGGTATCGGGCAGAAGACTGGGAAAACCATTCCAAAACCCTCTCCGGTAAATCACTGTGCCCCGACAGCTTTCCGGTGAAGTATGCATTTCGCTGTTTGTTTTCATTAAAACACGCTTTGGTAGATGACTGTTGTGGCCCAATTTTGAACGGTTTTCTTCAACTCATAATGAAACCGTAAGGCAAAGGTACCAGAATACGGAAAGCACTGAATCTGCTTACCCATGTTGCGAGATTTTTATTTGCGGCAAATGGAACTAGCCAAATTTAGAGGTAAAAGTTGCTGTTTACCTTCATCTATTTCTTCCCGGTTTGATCCTGTCATATAACAATTAAAATATTATTTCTTCATTTCAGTACAAAATCTATTTCTCTCAGTTACAGATAGACAGAACACACACCCTATTGGAATCAACCCTAGAGAGGAGGACTGGCGGGAGTATATAAAAATCGCGGCTAAGCGGTTGAGGTCGCAAAAACACATTCTGGCAAAATTAAATTACTTTTACTGTTCGTGGAAAATTCATCGACTCGTCTAGTAAAATGTTGGTTTCTAATAAAGCTTAAGAAAAGTTCATGAATAAACGTTAATTGAATAAAGGAAGATGACGGCACTTCTAACTCTCTTACTTTCCATGATGCCAAAAGGCTAAGTCTGAAATAAGCCATCGATATCTATAACAATATGATTTGGTGAAATCATTATTTGCCTTTTTCTGTTACTGGACACATTTGAAAACAAGTAGGGCAGTTGTTAATATCGCAGCACTCATGTTAAACTACTTAAATTGCTCTTCATCTCGTTTCTGGTAAAACAGTCTATTATTGTCTTTAAAATGGCCCTGTTACAAGGAATGGCTCAACGTTTTCCTATTTAGGACTGACACTCCCAGTAGTGCATGTAGCAATACAGATTTGACATCCCCATTGAAAGGGTACCTTCGCAAAAGCACTTGTAGGTTCTCTCGTCACCTGAGTTGGTGCTTGATAATTTTACAAATTTTGCGTCATTTGTATCACAGTTTACACCAATAAACGTCGTATTCTGCCAAAAAAAGATAACGATAATGACCACAATGATGATAATTATAAATGGCGTCATGAGCTCGAATGCGAAAGGCTAAAAAAACTTTTTTTGTTTGTGAATAGGCTAAAGTACAGATAGCATTATTTATGCTGTGAGAAAGCCGACGGAGAAAAATCGCCAGAGAGGTGGTGTGGTAATTTTTTGCTTGGCGAAACTAAACGCTGAAACGATTTCGAAATTGTCAAATAGAGCAATGACAATTAAATATCTTTGAATTTGTCGGTGCAAGAAGTGACTGTAGAACATTATTTTCTAGAAAGCCGAGTCAGTCTAGTCACGGCGAGTTTATGTGTCAAAGGTAAGCTGAAGTATAGTCTGCAGTGCGCTTAAGATCGTTCTTAGACGATGATTATTGTTAGCGTCCTTTTCGGAGTCGCTTTTGCGTAGGAATTAACTCAGGACGTGTTGTTTGATAAAATAGTTGTGTTTTGTGTTTTGAATTTTTCGGTGCAAGAAGTGGCTACAGAACATTATTTTCTAGGGAGCCTAGTCAGTCTAGTCACAGAGAGTTTGTGTGCCAAAGGTAAGCTGAAGTGTAGTCTGCAGTGCGCTTAAGATCGTTTTTAGACGATGATTATTGTTAGCGTTGCTTTTCGGAGTCGCTTCTGCGTAGGAATTAACTCAGGACGTGTTGTTTGATAAAATAGTTGTGTTTCTAAAAGTTAAGTAGATATCAATTATACTGTAACACTGAAGAAAATTAAGAAAATCTTGTCCATGTTATTATCTCAAGTTCAATCTTTGAAAGTTTCACAGATTCTTTAGTTCTTTTAATGGATTTTATAGAAACTTCTAACAGTACCGTTCGTAATAAAATTCAAACCAAAATGATTTATTCTTTCTTCTGTACCCAATATAGAGTTCATCTCTAAACTTACGTTTGGTTCCTTCATTTCCACTTCTTGCCTAGCGGCCGAACCTGCTCCCATACCCGGGCTGGATGCAATCTTGTAAACACAGGAACTGGCCCCAGGTCCAGGTAGTCCCTGGGTACCATTGTAACCGGATGGTCCACGAGGGCCCTGAGTACCATTATATCCTGGAGGTCCGGCAGGTCCAGCAGGTCCGGCTGGTCCGGCTGGTCCAATACCACCTTTAGTGCTATTGAATCCCAGTGGGCATGTGATCTGCGAAAAACAAGATTTCCTATTTTGACAAGAAGAACGATAATTTTTTTGGCCAAGAAAGGAAATTTTTTGAGAAGATGAAGTGATGATTTCACTGATACCGAGGAGCACTTGCGAGGAGGGGTGACGGAAGGCTTGTGTTATTCTGAACTGTCATGTATGTGTGTTCAGAATTTAACTTACTGTCACATTTTCCAGTTTCTTTTCCACCTGCCAAAGAGACAATAACTGTTATTAAAACCAAACGGCTGTAATGATTGGGTCGTAATTCTAAGACCAAACACGCGAATAGCTGCATTCTGATATTGCCGTCCACAACCCTAAGAAACAGAGATATATAAAGAGATGAATATACGGAAAAAAAAAAAAAAACTTGCCTTTGTAACGTTTTTCTCCAGATTCCCTAAACCTTTTGAAACCTGTCACAATAATGAATAGAAAGGTTAACATGAGGAGACTGTGTCGTAATAAGATAACGCAATTTGATTGTTTCGAAATAAGATTACACTATTTAATTCAGGTGAGTTTAATTTGGCGTGTACACGTACTACAAGAAATGTAAGAATTTCGAGAAATGGATCTTGTCGATGTAAAATCATTGTTTCTTTATTATAAGACTATATTGAAAACACTGAAGGAAAAACTCACCTCGGTAAAGTTATTCTCCAGATTCTCTAAACCTTTTGAAACCTGTCACAATAGTGAATAAACAGTTTGCATAAAGAGACTGTGTCGTCATAAGATTGCACTATTTGATTGTGTCGTAATAAGATTGCACTTTTTGATTCAAGTGAGATAAATTCGGCGTGTACACGTCCTACAAGAAATGTCAGAAATTCAAGAAATGGATCTTTGTTGATGTGTAATCTTTGCTTCCTTGCTATAAGACTATATTGAAAACACTGAAGGAAAAACTCACCTCGGTAAAGGTATTCTCCAGATTCTCTAAACCTTTTGAAACCTGTCACAATAATGAATAAAATAGTTTGCATAAAGAGACAGTGTCGTCATAAGATTGCACTATTTGATTGTGTCGCAATAAGATTGCGCTATTTGATTCAAATGAGATAAATCTGGCGTGTACACGTCCTACAAGAAATGTAAGAAATTCAAGAAATGGATCTTTTTTAAATGTAATCTTTGTTTCTTTGCTATAAGACTATATTGAAAACACTCAAAGAAAATCTCACCTCGGTAAAATTATTCTCCAGATTCTCTAAACCTTTTGAAACCTGTCGGAATAACAATTGAAAAGGTTTACATAGAGAGACTGTGTTGTAATAAGATTATACATTTTTTGATTCAAGTGAGTTTAATTTGGCGTGTACACGTACTACAAGAACGGTCAGAAATTCAAGACATGGATCTTTGTTGATATGTAATTCTTTACTTTATTATAAGACTATATTGAAACACTGAAGGGAAAACTCACCTTGGTAAAGTTATTCTCCAGATTCTCTAAACCTTTTGAAACCTGTCACAATGATGAATTTAAAAAAGTTTACACCAAGAGACTGTGTCGTAATAAGATAACACTATTTGATTGTGTCGAAATAACATTGCACTATTTGATTCAAATGAGTTAAATTTAGCATGCACACTTACTACGAGAAATATAAGAAATTCGAGAACTGGATTTGCTTTGATGTGTAATCTTTCACATGAAAAACGGAAAAATTGAATACAAGGAATACAAAAAGTTAGTAATACATATAAGAATGACTAAATCTACTAAATGTTTAAGAAATGATGCAAATAAGGGCTCTAGGATCGATGAATTATCAAAAATATTCTATAACTCAATAAGGAATTCAATTAATGAGTATCAAGCAAGATAATTAAAAAGTATATTTGTTGAATTGCCAAGGATATTCAGAGTAAACTTACTTTGTTTTTAACATTCAGGAACTCCTTTTCAATCTGAATTAGAATAAAATTAATACACGCTTTTTAACAGTTTTGTTATTCGAATGCCAAGCACAAAAATAGTTTCTTTTCTAATAACGCTGCCCCCAATCCCTCCCCTTACTAAAAAAACAAAAAACCCAGAAATTCACGACTATTAACAAACACTGAAAGAAAAACTCACCTCAGCAATGTTATTTTCTAGAATCCTCTTTGAAACCTGACGTAACAACGAATAGAAATAGGTTCCTTACTAAAGTTCAAAGGAAAGTGTCCATTTTCAATGTAAAATACATAGACGGAAAGAGATGAAACGAAAATGAAAACATGAAATGCGAGTAATTAAACAAGAGTAGAGCAGAGAAATTTATGTACCCTCTAAAAAAAATTGAATGGACGCGAGCAGAAAAAAGGGACACATTTTTCAACAGTCAACTTACTAGGCATATATCATATGGCGGGTTGTATTGATTACAGAAGATCTTAATTCCCACTACTTGAGGCTTTTTTTCCAGTTTTCAGCAGTAGTGGATGTATCTCGTGATGAGATTTCTATCATTGAATTTTCTTCCCTAATTAATAGGGAAGAATTTTGACCTACTGGTTCTCTCAAAGCCGAGAGGTTCCTTTTCAGCTCTTGTTGATTCTTCTTAAGTTCTGATATTTCTTCATGAATAGATGAAAGAAAAACATTAATAAATGAGTGGATGCATAAATTCCTGATGGCTGAAGATTTAAATAATGATAATAATAATAATAGTTAAGTCTTCAATTGATTTATGTGAGTAAAGCCTGTTTTCGTAGTTTTTTTTTTCTCCTCAAAGGAGAGAAGTCGTTATCGGCGGAAATGGAATTGTTTTTACGTATACCGAGCCGTTGCTCTTCGGAGGAATAAAATAAACCATGAGAAACATATATTTAATGCATGTCGTTGCAGTTCAAATACATATAAAGATATTTGAACTGCCACTCTTCTCCTGGGACTCCTTGGAGGATCTTATCAGGAACAGTAAGATCACGGGAGCTCGGGCAGAAACTGTGGACATATTTCCAGTAGTGCATTTGTACATATTCATCGTCGCAGAAGAAACGGTTCAATTAACAAATGATTTTCAACGCTGATTCATTCTCGTCGATTACAACAAATAAGCAACTTAAGTGTTAAATCACTTTACGTGATATGATAATGTTATGTTCAAGCAAACCATTTCAATCTTGAGCTGCCTCGATGTAGCTCTTTGGAATCACCAAGCCAAGAAAAAAGCCAAAAGTAGACTCAATACATAAAATAAAACCCAAAGGGTTTTCTGGATTTATTTCCTGGCGAATTATAGATAATTTTTCTAAACTTCGAGACCATTATGCGATGCAAATTTCAAAATACGCATTCATGCGTTGGGAAAATTTATCAGTAGGTTTTATCACATATCATGATTATTCAATAAATAAAGTAACGCTTCCCTCGAATCTTCATTACCTGAATCGATGTATGATGAGGCAGCGGGAAACAGGGATGCCCCCGTGGCGATTGCAGAAATCTTTGTGCAAACACTAGGATCAATTATTGGCAACTCATTCATTAGGATATAGAAATTAAAACTTGGATGTTCCTAAACATTTTAAGATCCAAGGATTTTTTTTGAAAATAATTATTATGCAAAAATAGGCTTCGTTGTTTTTCAAATTTGATTACCACGAAAAATTTAGGGTATTCAATATTTTCGGCTTTTCCGGATTATGTTTACCGCTTATTCCCCTAATGCTCTTTTGCATTGTTTGAACATTTTTCACATCTTTCGATTCTCAGTAGTTATAAAACGATGAAACAATGCGGTCAATTTTTCATTTAGAAAGTAGCGCAACAGAAAAATTCTTTAATAAACCCAGGGAATAAGTCCTTGGGGTCTTTTGGTCTCAAGGAAAAACTGTAGATAAGCCACAAAAAGATAACTTTTTTGTAATAGGTTAAATGTTTCAGTCTGAACGGGTAACAGTGAACGTAGTGTTGCTATTATGATTGACCCTAGAGCTCAAGAATCGACCCGCAGGGAGAAGGATGATCTTAAATCAAATTGGTGAGACTTTCCTGATCATCTTATACGTTAATGACTTTTACATGCTGTCAATAACATCGGGAATTTATTTCGAGACTTAAGAGAGGATGTCAGCATCCATCGAACAAATTTGAAATATCGTGGCAAGTCGCCCAAAATTCGTTTTCTTCCCTACTTTCATATTTTGCAGCCCAATATGTCCTAATAATTGTGGTGTAGTTTTTTGGTGAAAATATCTTTTAGTTTTCGAGAAATGATTTTTTTCGTTCGACCGCTCAAATATGCAAATTTTCGAGCTGTTTCGATGATCAAGTTATGCTCTACCACATTTTAGCCAGATTTAATTTGCAGTTGACAAAACTTCTCCACATTATTATATCAGTTGCGTGACGCATAAATTTAAAAATGAATAGACCTCCGAATTACCAAGAGATGGGTTTTTTTCCCCTCTTTGCATATCTATAAAAACCTTTCAAGAATTACTGTATTCAGAAAACTAAAATGTCCAGATTCATCAATGATTCCTTTGCCGGCGGAAGTCAAAGAATGTTCACAAAAGTCAGTTCTATTGACAGGCTACATACTGATTTAGCTAATTGATCTGTTGTATAAGCGTTTCATCTTACATGCTGACAAGGAGATTTGCTCACAAAACTTTTTTCTCTTCACCGAAAATCACATCAAAATTTGTCCTTGCTAAGTGTGCTGCACGTATCAGCACCCCCCGAGGAACACCAAAAGAGGGCGAGGATGCGCGCCGGGAATTTCGAAAATGACTCCTTTAAAATTATAAAAGGTACCTGAGTCTTATCCGTGTGGGAGTGGCAACAATTGATGTCTACCCCTAAAAAGTACCAATTTAAACACAAAAAAATTGAAAAATCCTTAAGATAAAAACTCCTTTATCGATATGCTCCAGAGGCTCAGGTCAGATCATTAAAATCGTCCAAGTAATGCTTATTTCAGGTATTTTATCGAGCGTAAAACATCCTAAAAGGTACCAGCTAGGTCTCCGGTAGTCCACTAAAGTTTGAGACATCGTAAAAGGTACCAGATCACCGATTTTGACCCCTGAAAGGTACGACAAGCATCCTCACTCATATCCGATCGCCTGATGACTCGTTTCGAATAATTTTACTCTTCTATCATGTGGCGACTGGGATGAACTCGTTCTCGAACAAAAACTCATTCTGATATTATGTAAAAGGCCCCTAAGAGTTTTTATTCCCCGAGCATCACGCTTTGTCCCGCCAGAACACTACAAATTTCAATATGCGCTGTTACTGAAACGATTACCGTATTTCTTCACCTATAAGCCGAGCAATTTTCAGTATTTGACACGAAAGTTTGAGAGATTTTTTCAGAAGAAACCGGCTTCGGCTTATAGCCGAGGGTTTGGAATTCAAAAGCAAGTAATAAACACAAGAATGTTTCTACAGTTACGTAGTAGTATTTACATCTTCACTGATTCTCTTTTTTTTTCTTTTTTAGAAAGTAACATATTGTAATATTGTCAATTCAACATAAACAAAAATCTTCATACAGGGTAAATATTAATTTGTGTTGGTATCAATTAGTAGGTGACTAGCTTATGATATGCATGGGGTATGGGGAAACACAGCGTAAAACCTGGGCTTCTGGGAAAATGTAATACCCAAGCGTAATCTAATTAGCGAAACAGCTTACTGGTCTTATAAAATCATAAATAAACAAGGTAAGAGTGTTAGTTTTTTTTACAAATTATAGTGATTTATGCTTATGTAAGAGTAATAAACAAATGAAATGGTGACCTTTGTTGCTAAGAATAGTGGTGGGGTGAAAAAGAAGCCAATAATCTTAAAATGATTTTTTTTTTTAGTTTCATTAAGCGGGGCCAGCGACTGGCAGGCATGCGAGGGTTCACACTGAAATGAGAACAACCTTGGTTTTTCATAAAATTACAATTTACAGTCCTTGAACTTGAAAACAATCCGAAGATTCATTAAAAATATCACTTACTCCGAAGCGCTCGGAGTTTACAGGTGTTCAAAAGCTTTTTCTGTTATGGCGTGTGATTGGGGACAAAATCGACCATTACATTTCGTATCATGTGTTTTTTCTGTGTGAAGCAACAAAAGGTGCCGGTGACTGACGAAATTATAGGTTAGCACGAAAATCAAACAATACCTAAACAAATAATTTTGGCTACCGATTTTCAGTGAATTTTTAAGAACAATTTTCTTTTAAGTTTCGAGACAATTTGAAGATTCAAAATAAATATTACGTACTAAAATGCGAAAGTTATAAACCACAAAATTGATAAATAGGCCTGGAATGAAATTCTATCTTGTTATTGATTATACGTTACCTAGCACGTGACCAAAATCTACCCAGGCGGAAATCCAAAATGATGGTGGCAGTGTGGGCTTATAGCACTCAAAAATAATTCCTGTTTGTCTCATTTGATAAAGAGGGAATGTCATTAATATTTACATTAAGACAGTATTGCCTTGATTTTCCAATATTTACAATGATAGACAGTAATTTCACTTTTACCCACATTTAATTCCAACCTTTTCTTTTGAACTAGAAACAAACATGATATATGTTTAAAACACATGACATTATCAACCCTTGTCAAATGTCATAGCATGATCATTTCAATTGTAATGCCTTCTTATCCCAACGTTACTTTGTTTCTATGCTACATTAGCGAACACTGAACTACTACTCGTACTCTAAATATGACAATCAACCACAAAATTCCCTAAACCAGATAACATTAAACATAATCCAAAAAATCATGTAAGTCATCTGTCAATTCACGAGTTTGCTCACAGAGCACTTTGATTATGTACATTGGTATCGCACCCAGGAATGCGGTACATATTAAATCCTTGTTGCTTAAGGCTGTTTTGATGCGCTAGAAGTGTGTTGGCGTGTCATTATAAAAACAAAACAAAACAAAAAACGAGCGAAAAAAAAAAAACACATCTTCAAACGCAATTATCAGTGAAGTGTGTAGAGATCCTTTCCTGTTCGTTCTTATCAATACCTATGACTCGAAGGTCTCTCAGAAAAAAAAAAAACGATAATTATGATAATAAAAGAGGCTTCTTCACGATTTGGGCGTGAATTTGATGAGTTAATCATCTGTAGTGCGTCACGGGCTTGTTCATACTTATTCAACCTCGATCTTATTTGGATTTTGTGCTTTTGCCAACTTAAATGTTTTTCTACCTTACCAGGCCATCATTGTGTGGTTTTCTACAGGCTGAGACTCGCTTTCGCAAATCCAAAATAGAAGCGTATCTAACTCACGATCAATTTGAAGATATGAATTAAAATTTAGAATAAAACATCTTGTAAATCTGCAAATACCTGTTTCTCCAGAGCAGGTACATTGTGGTGAACCAGCGTGAAACACACCAAACAACATCAGCAAGGTAAGCCCAAGAGAAAGTGCTGAGACAAAACATATAACCAACAGGGCCGCACGATACAATCTCTGACCTTGGCTGGCATCGCTCTTCTCGTCAGCAGTTTGCAGCAAACTACCACCATTACTCATATTCCCGTTTGAAACACTATTCAGTTGCTCTTGACCGTCAATGGTCGCTCCAGTTTCCTTTTTGGTAAGGAAGAGCTTATCTTCTGCTTCGGTAGGATGGTTTTCTTGAAGTTCTATTTTACAATTAGACGCAATAGGCGAGCTCGATCGTCGCCCAAGGAAAACGCTTCTGGTTAAAGAAGACATGAACCTCTCCAAAGTCGTTACTACAGGCGTGTTATTCTTAACCTTTCCTTTAGTGGTGCGAAATCGACAGTCAGTAAGATGTAGGCACCCGAAAAGAGAAACAGATGTGAAGAGAATGACAAGCTGCCACGTTACATGTAGTACTATTTCCTTAGTAATAGACTTGTACATACACATACTCTTCTCATTCTCCTCTCTTAATGGTTTATTATCCTCAAAAGTAATGATCGAGAAATGCGCAGCTTAGCATGAGAGAGAATGTGCCAAATAATGGCGGAATTAACAGTTTTAGGAAACTATTATTGATATTTTTTGCAGTTTTCAAGAATCAATTTATTTTATTGTTCAACTCTTTGGAATTAAGAGGCTTAATTGGCTTATTTCATCTTCATTAAAAAAAATAACATTTCCTCAGGTGCTCTCAAGGTCACTGAAACGTTACCCGTTGTAGTCTACTTTGTACACAATAAACACAAAAGCAAACGATAACCTTCTCGTATTTCCTTTTTCCGTCAAAACAACTTTGATATCTGTCTTCTGGCCATGATTAAAGGACAAAGGACGTGAACATACTGATTCGATTAATCATTATCCTGTTCTTAATGATCGTAGAAAATCGGTCTAAACTTCTTTTTGGCACAGTTTTCATAAACCACATTTAAGGTCATCACTTTATGCCAATGCTATCGCGGGCATAAACCATGATCTTGGAAAAAGATGAGTTGGATCAAGTCGTCATAAAAAAAATATATATATATTTCCGGTTGTTTACCTTCCCATCAGAAAAACCACTTGTTCGACAGTTAGGACAAATGAGATGCATTCCAGAATAGAAATTTCCTAGGTATACGCGTATTTCTTGTACAGAGAAATTCTCAGAGATGGGAGTTCATAGGATGTGTGTTGGAAACGTTGAGGTCTAGTCGAGGGAGGGAATGGTCTTGAATTCTTGTAATTGAAATGTTGCAAGGAGTCAATTTGCTCGAGTACAGAACATGCTGTGAGGATTAATTATATCGAACGTTTTGACAGGTCGTCAATTTTCCTATCAATAGAGTGACATCAAACACAATAGGAGAAATTTAGACACAGTATATTTCGCAGTTACATAAATTTAACGTTCGCGTTCCGACTTGCTATTATAATATTTAAGACCAATTTTCCACCGTTTCCAAGGAAAATATATTAAAGGAATTTTGTTTAGACTTTTCAAACCTAGTCGATAAATCGAATTGAATGAAAGTTAATTAGTCTCGAAATAGGTTTCAATTAAGCAAACGCGAGCTCCTAAGTGCCTTGAACTAGTTGAGTACGAACTCCATCACAAAATATTTTGGCGATAGAGAAAGGACCATCCTTCTAAAAGTCCGTCAACTCCTTAAAATTTTCTAGTTAAAAGCTTCAACAACGTGGCTGTTATTTACATCCCAAACGGATTTATGGATTATCGTCGTACAAGGTGAAGGTTTATTATCAAGGGGATATAAATATCTTGTTAAGAATCCACGCTCTACACACTCATCTAAAATACGGGTGATTGATTCTTACTTGCTAATCCTAGCTGTAATTATCTCTTTCCTTCCTAAACATTAAATGTCTCACAGCGAATATTCTATTCGCCCTTAACCCTACTCTAAAAAAAGAGCGTGATGAATGAATGCAAAACGAACTGAAAATTTTGATCAGTTCCATGTCCTTGTAAGATTACATTTCCACGCACCTTGTGGAAATATTCTGTCTTTGTTTCCTTTCAGCTTTCATCAACAATGTTCGTTCAAATTCATGCTCGTATCTAGTACTGTCGTGTACGTATACAGACGATGCCCAATTTCTTATCTTTTAAATCTACTGCGCTTACCACCATATTGAGTATTTAACACAATATGTGTTTCAAAAATATTTTTTCGCGACTTAATACAATTGTACAATTAATGATATGGATAGCCGTTACGTATCAACCATTCGCAAAATACTGTAGGACCTCAGCCAGCTTTGCTACATGTACCCTTCTGTCCTAACTGCCCAGTCATACATTCTGATGTATATTTGATAATCCTTGATACATTATGAGATATCTAGACTTGCTTTTTTGAGATGAATTACTTCATTTTATTCGTGATTAACATATATAGGCATGGTTCATAATAACCCAGTCCAAGAAATTTTAGGTTTGTAGCAAATGGAAATTTCAGGCGTGAGGAATTTGTGACGGAGATTGACTGAACTTAAGAGGAGTGAATTTTCAAATTGACACAGTTTCGTGGAGTCCCGTTGAAAAAGAGTCACAATTACACCAAACTGAAAGTTTCCCATGCGTATGAGACGCAATGGAACGACTGGCACGTATGCTGGCTGAACTGGATGAGAAATTTTCAGGAGGAAGAATCATTTCTTTTGAAGCTCTTTGGTCGTAATTTTGGAAATATCTTTACCTGACCATTAAAGACTAAATTAAGATGACACCTTATTTATGAAAAGAGAACCTAGTTGTCTTGTTATACTGTTAGCGCGTGTCTAGGTTGAAATTAGCTTCAGAACGTACCAAGCTTAGCGAAGGAAACCAATGACTCGCGACCAGACTTTTTCAGTCTTCTGTAATTTCTCTCTTCTCTGAATCAATTCTGCAAGCAGCAAATTCACTTCTCTCGCTTCTTTTCAACCACTCTGACTCTGATTAAATCTTGCTCGCTCTGAGTAACGGCAGTCGAATATTTCTCTCTAACTTTGATCGATTGAATGTGAACGCTATTGAACACGCGTATATACTGACTATGTGTAGGCATGAGTTGGCACGCTGGCCAAGTGATCTTGAAAGATTTTAAACACCACAAAAATGTGACAAATAAACAACAAAGTATCTAAAGCTTCCGATTAAGCAATCAGTCGGTGACTGCTAAAACAAAAACAAGACCTTCAGAGGAGGTCCAACGCGAGGTCATCAGACAAACTGAGCACGTTCACTAATGGAAGTTAGAAAAGAAGGATACATTAAGGAAACTCAACGCCATAGCGAAAACCAAAAGACACTTTAGTGTTTAAATTCAAATCTTAATTAAAACTACTGCCAAATCAAAATCACTAAAATCACTCCAAACTCATCGACTACGTTACAACAATGCGTCTAGACTGATATAATCCAACTTCCTTTCTAGCGAATTTTGCTTCAACTCAATGTCCTAACCCAGGTATTGGTAAAACACAAACAGTATGTTGGCAAATAAAAGTTAAGGGGCGTTTATCCTTTATTTTTTCGGTTTAATTTAGGAGTTTTAATCGCACGAATAATGATTTTCATTACACTCCTCTTGTTAATCAGGAGAAACTTTGGTAGGAGATTGTTGGGTCCCAGTCTAACATTTTTCTTTTTCTTCTCATAACGAAACTGTCAAACAAAGGTATTGGATTATCGATGGTAATGAATCTATTGACAGATATTACAAGAACCTTACTCTAGACAAACAGCACGCGCACAAAACGTGGTTAGAAGTTGGACTTACTCTTTTATCTATCGATATCTATTTCTCATGCCTTGAACCTATAATACATCTATGGTAGAATTGCTTATAGTAAAAGATTCCCATAAAAATTCCCAGGGAAATTAAATAATAGAGAATGGGAAACAATGTCTCCTTGTCTACCTTAACTTGATTTGTTGGGTATTTCTTTTCTTTTTGCTTTCGATCTTGGCTACACTTTTTTTCTCAGGTGTATTAGGAAAAAAGAAAATTTCTTAGACACAAGAGTACCCATTTCCTAATTATTTTGCTGGGGCAGTTTATTTGTAAACCACTTGAAATTTCAAATAAACTCATGCGAAAGTTCACAGAGTGATTGCAAATAAAGCATGATGAGTTAAATTTTATTCCTCAACATCTGTGGACTAACTCTGGAATTGGTTACAAATGTCTGTTACATTATTTGCGACCGCTTAACACCACCGGAAGTCTTTTTGACCCCTGAAAATGACTACCAACTAATATCTCCATATAATATCTTAATAGAACAATAAAGACCCGAGAACAAAGGAAATGATCACCAACTATAATAGCTCTTGATTGTTAAACTAATTCTCCTTGTCAGCACTTAAGAGTGTGCATGCAGAAGTAAGGTTATAAAAGGTCAACTGAGCGCATTACAAAGCTGTCAATTGATCATATCGTAACGATTATGATAAACAGCTAAATTCTTCTTTGTCTCGCTTCTGGTTCATTGCTTTCTTCTTCACAATCACTCTTATCATAAACGAGAGGGTTTACGTTTCCCACCTTAGGACAGACACTCCCAGTAGAGGATATTGCAATACATCTTTGCTTCTCCAGTTGCCAGGGCACCTTCGCAAAAGCATTCACGGTAGGTTCTCTTGCCAGATGGCCATGGTGCTTGATAAAATAGCAACTTTTGCGTCATTTGTATCACTTTTTACACCAAGAAACGTCTTACCCTGTAGGAAAACTAAAGATATTAATGATGATGATAATATCAATGACAACTATAACAATTATAATTGTAATAATAATAATATTAACAATAATAATTATAAATGTCATTATTGTGAAAAGTATCACTCCTAGTTTAGTTCCCTGAGGCACACCTCCCATTGACGGATTTCCAATCTGATAATATTGCACCTTTCCTTACAGCCTGCTGTCTGTCGGTTAGGAAAGCAGCAATCCAACTGATGAGCGTGGGATGAACCTCTAGTTTTCGCAACTCAGTCGTTAAGATATTAGGGTCAATTAGATCAAAGCCTTTCCAAAAGTCAGCGAAGAAGACCCGGGCTCCTGGATCAGTACTGTCTACTGCCTCGTAAATGGCTCGTAATGATGAATGATTCGAATGACAGGAGCTAGTTCGTGCGCAAAGTCCTTGATCAATTTATTTGGGATGTTGTCGGGTCCTACAGCTTGTCAACATTAAGAGACGACAGGAATCGGAACGCTTCCTCGTGTTAAAGATCCAGGGACAGTCAGCTGGGTGTTTCTTAACTATATTTCGTGGAAGGAAGGAATACACAGCGGATGTAAGTTCCATCATCAACAGCCTGAACTTGCCTTCACAAGACTCAGAATTAAGAACCGAGTAGCAGTCCTTCTCTGTCATCAAGCCCACCAGCACACGCCATGTACTGTCGTGCATATCGCGTGACTCTATTTTCTTGATGACTGGTTTGTGT